TAGAATTGCAGACAGACAGAGACGGACAATTGAATCAAGTCGCGGTAGTAGTAAGTGCGTGAATCGTTCGTTGTGAATTATAGCGTGTGTTTAAGGTAAAATGACCGTGTAAATTAAGTGTATTGCAAAGTTGTATTGAGAAAGTATAACGTAGTTTATTTAAGAAAGGACTTGTATCGCTTAAGTTTTTCGGAAATAATTTCTATGGAAAATTAACAAACGACCAGAGACGTAACAATAACTTAAAATTTTATAGAAATTTCATTAATAAGCTGTAACCATCTTGTGGCTTATAATATTAATCAAACCATGTGCGTTAATTATAACACTCAAATATAACAATGCTTGAAAACTTTCGATGAATACATCATGTGTATTAAACTGTGGTCTGAAGCATCACGTATATTCCTACTGAACTAACAGTCTTTCTTGCTCTCCATTTCTTTATATTTAAATGGTTTCTTTTAGATTATTTGGTGTAAATAATACGAAGTCCAGTCCACATAACGATTATATTGTTACGACAGAGGAAGTCACGTGACGCTGCCGTGGGTGATGACTTTCTCATCATTCGGGGAAGTCCGAGTGTGTTCGAGATGCCCTCTTCGTTAGTATATAAGCGTGGCAGAAAAGCCAGCGAAGATGAATGAAGAGAGAACAATAGTTACTTTGAGTTCCGTGTAATTTATAATTCTGTTAGTTTCGAGCTAGTGAACCGTAAAGTGTGTGTTTTGTACTCGTCGAGAGCGAACTTATCGAGATTGTGAATCGCTGTGATTTATAGCATGTATTATAAAATGTTGTTAAGTGTCAAGTGACGAGAAACGTACTGATTGTGGAACTTCTGTGTACTAACAGTTTGTATTGAGGAAGAATAAACTGGTTTAATTAAGAAAGGACTTGTATCGCTGAAGATCCTGGGAAATAATTTCTACCTGAAACAAACAAACAAGCAGATACGTAACAATATATTAGTTTAATTCCTCCTTAAAGTTTGTTACAGGCTTATGTCACTTGTACACAGTTGTAGGCCTAAGTTCACAAATATCTTTTCGCTTGTAATATGTAGGTATATCTTATGTTTTCTACCAGCTTGATATAGATATTTAAATTTTTCGGTTATTTAGTTTCTATAATGTAATGGCAGCAACACTAATTCAAGGTCATTAGGATTACCTTGTTCTAATTGACCTTTCTTTAATATATATTCTATAATATGTAATGTCTATTCTGCCTGAAATGATATTGCAG